TAGATAAGCTAGCTTTATATATCTATAAATAGGTATAATAAATTACAAAACATGTCTTTTTCTTCTGTTCTAAGCTTACTAATTATTGTGGCCAGCTATTTAGAGACGCAAAGACTAATGACTATTCGAAAATAGTCATAACAACAAGAGGCGCTAAGGCAGCAGCAGGATGGCTACAACGTACAGGACTCCTCTTATAATTCAATCTCGGCCTTAACTAACACTAACAGCCAAGGCCACACAGCCAACCACCCAGAAAGGATAGGAAGGTAGGATGTCTCTTTGTAACCCTGTGTAACAGGACACGACTACCTGGTACAACGTGAATAACAGAAACGGATAACTTATAAGTTTTCTTCCCTGGAGAGTTTCTCCTATAGATTGTTATTAGTATCCCTCCTTATGAGCTTAATAGCTTAATAAGTATAAGAATAATAAATAAATAAATAATAATTATCTTTTTTTTGCTTTTTAAATATAACTTAGCTTAAAATTATATATTTTAGTAACTTAGTATTAATAAAGTAATTAAGTAAAGAAGAAGAGATAATAGACATAATAACTTATAAGGTTACTAAAGTCTATACTAAAGTAAAATAAGTAAAGGTAAATATAAAGAAAGTAGTATAAAGATTAATCTGTAGTTTAGGCTTCTTAAGACATACATTAGCTCTATAGTTTAGATTACAATAATAATACGCGGACTATCTATCTCTCCTAGACTATCCGTCTCTTTAATGCTAACGACTTAGTGTTTTTTGAGCGCCGTAAGAGCAATCAGGAATATGTCCTCTGTAGAGAGCCACGATTGAGACCAGTAGGAGAGTGGTTGCATGCTCAAGATAGTGGGGCAGACATTGGACAGGGTCAGAGTGCCGAAAATGTATTCATGGCTTGCAACAAGGCTGTGAGTTATCCTGGTTTCACTCGAGCAGCTGAAGCCTTCTGGACCTTCTGCCGTGTTGACCGAGTGCTGGCAGATGATCCTCAATACACCACCGAACTAGCGATGCTGGTCTTCTGCTAACAGGAGCCGAGCACGATGAAGAAGATTAGCATACACAAATTTGGAGGATGTAGGCTCATGTTCAAAGTGTGACTGTTTCTGCGTTTCGTTTTTCACGATATTGGTAGACAACATTGGAGATGAAGTGGTTGTAGCAGAATTCGACGCCGTGCGGGAATAAGAATGAGTACGTACTATCGTAAAGTTACCTTCGAGGTCTTCTCTGATTGGCCATGGCCGAGGCAGCTACAGCCGATGCAAGTGGGAAGACAGATGATTCAGATTCTTCTCTCAGTACGGATGAACGCGTGGTCAATGTCTGGCAGTTACCTTCACTCGACTTCACTCTACTAATAAAGGAGAAGCTTTATAAAGGACTAAAACTTTTAGATTAGTGTTAGGACTTTATGTACGGAGTATAAGTATTGCCTTCTTTAGACATTGTGCTATCATGTTATAAAACGAAATGTTTATCTTCTGAATGTGTATTTGAATAAAGCTCTATGTAGTAATGTGATAACAAAGCTGAGAAAGTCCTTAAGATCATAAGAGCGGCTTGATAATGTCTGCTAATTAGATGTAGCGCAGTGACTAATGTTTTGGCTTTGGCCGCGAAAACATTTGTTACTACGCTACATCTAATTAGCAGACATTATCAAGCCGCTACCGGGTGGGTCTTAAAGGGTCAAATGGAAGGTCTTGCTAAGAAGCAACTCGATAGCGTAATTAACGTAGATACTTTGAATATTTAGTTAGGCAATATACTATAATGATAGAAAATAGAGTAGCTCTGCTTCTACCGTGTCTACTAGATCGTCTACGTCAGACCCACCGTTAGTAAACGTGCGATCTCCAAAACTGATGGGTTCAAAGAAGGTTGTAGCAGCCGACGTCAGCCAGACGTGAGCACCTAGATGCAGCGCAGTGACCAATGATTTGGCTTTGGCCGCAAAAACATTAATAACAGGCGACCCCATGCAACCTCGAGTGAAATACCTAAGCAAGAGGCCTAGGATCGTCGATCAAGGGTCTTTACCTTCTTCACTCCATTGTCAACAAGCTCAATGGGTCTACCAACACCAGCCCCAAGGTAAGTCTTCCTCAGCCATATGTAGGAGATCAAAGCAATGAACAGCGTAGCCCCCAGCGCCAGAGAACTCCAATTCATCGATTCAACCGTTGGATTCGGCGCAACGGGGAACATGCCCGAGATCAAGCAGCATGTGAGGAAAACAATCGCGACGGTGTTTATGATATTCCCACAACTTTCGCCAAGACAAAACGAGGGTGGCTTGTCAAGATTACCGTACAGACTAATTCTAATGCGGTGGTTAAGCCGGTAGCCAATGCAGATCAAGTACGAGACCAGCAGTCCGGAATTACCAATGGTTTGAATATTGATGAAAGCGGCAGTCGATCCAAGAGGGATAAGCGCAAGCAGACAGGCGATGAACCACGACAGGAGGACAGCGCGTATCGGAATATTCCTAGTCGGTGATACCTTTTTCTACATCAGTCTCGGCGTTATCAAATTTGGGAGGTGGAGGGACTTTACGTAGCTTAGCCAGCCAGAGAAAGGCAATTCTCCATCACGAGCGAACGCCCAAATCTGGCGTGATGACGTAACGTTCTGATTAATGCCGGAAAATATGAAAAAGAGAATGATAAAGGCGACCAGGACTGTTGTTGCGGTCCGAGACTGCGTAGCGTTCCAGACGACCTGAATGTACGGCTGACCAGTGCTGGTGGCAAGGATAGACTTAACATCATCCCCTACAACAGTCATGAACGCAATCAGCATTTAGAAACCTAGAAGATAATTAATGATAGCGGTTGTTAGCATAGCCTTTGGTAGCTTTCGCGATGCACCCTTCAATTCCTCGGCAAGATGAACTGCCGAGTCAGACCCTATCAGCGTGATGACGGGTCCACTGATTCCCACAAAGCACGCAGTGCCTATACTACCCCAAGCCGCATTGTCTTCAAAATGTGCGAATATCCACTTTGCGCCGGATCGTGGGCCCATTGCTAACAAGATGATGAAATCTGCGACAAAGGCCAAGATGTAGAGTATGAACACTGCAGCTTCGATACCAGGCAGTCGTTTAGCCAGAAAAATGTTGAAGATAATAGCGCAGGTACAGATGAGAATGGTAATTAGAGTGACGTGCCATGTCTCTGGAATGTATGAGTCCGAGGCTACAACAGCCAAGCCTAGAATTGCTGAAGCAGCGATAGAGCTAGCTCCAGCCCCGAAAGCCGCCCATCCAATGCCCTGCATCCAACCTAAAGGATGTAAAGTCAATATACAATGATCTGAGAAATTTCGGCAGAAGATCTACTCACCAATAAGATAACTGGCAAGTTTCTTATGTGTTTGAGGCGCAAAAACTGACACCCAATGGTATTGACCACCGGTCGTGGGTTCACTGAGACTGGATCAGTGCTTGTTTAGACATGATTCACTTGGAGCACATACATAGAGGCCATCTCTGCCATGGAGAGCACAACACTGAACATGCCGAAGCAGACAATCAAGTACATCCAGATCGCCCCGGCAGGGCCACCATTCGTTAAAGAAAGTGTTCCTGTGCTATCCAGAGAGTCAATGATTGTTTTCAGTCGGACATATATGCAGAACCGACGGTGGAACTTACACGAGCGAAAAAGGCCATGTCAAGCCGATAATGACGGCGTAGCCAACGAGTATTATTGCATTGTATACACGCTTGCGACAGTCAGCCTCCCGTCATAAGCTTCTTAGCGCATAAAAGAGTACTCACAGGGGGTGCTCCGTACACCTTACCCACCTGGGCCAAAAAGGACAGGTATAGACAACATACGGTTTCAATTGGACGTGGCTTGATCAGCTGTTTAACGAGCTGATAGTCCTGCTCCATGATAGACCTCTTCGGACTTATCCGCATCGGACCGGATTTGTCTGGGAGGCCCGAAGACTCGGAGATATTCAGGTTTTGGACGACATTGCCCAGCTTGCAAAATAAGAGAGATTTCAATATCGACCAAGGACGTGCTCGGGGTGCGGGCCTTGTGTTCTCGTTGGGCATTCGAGAACCACGCAAAAGCGCAGTAATAGCTGTGGCAGTCGGAACGTAAGGATTATCAATTGCCGCACCAAACAGCTCCGTTGTCAAGCCCTGGGAGGGTTGCCAGCTACCAAGCAGCAAGCCATCGGCACGGTTGTGTATTTTCATCAAGAGTTCGTGGATTCCTTCGATTCTATCGGCGAATTTCGCGTGTTCCTAGTGTGTGAAAGGTGCGGCCATGCGCTCCGCGGTCGGAGGGCCAGGGTTATTCACACCATCAGGACAAACTGGAACAAAGATGATGACATTATTGCTTTAAACGCGACGGCCACAGATCTCTATTGGATAAAGTCAAAATTGTCCTACCAGGACCTCCACGAGTTCGCATTGTACAGTACCCGGTCAAAAGTCTCCGTTGATTTCGCGTTTTTCGCGTTTTTTCGCGTTTTGCACCCACAACCCACCCATTCTATCAACGAATTATGCCCCCACGAAGGCCACTACGCGAAATCAGTGGTAATAGGCCTCTTCATCATGAGTTAACGCCTATTGAGCGCGCAGAGATAGTAGGCGCAGCCAAATGTGGAGTGAGATTCGCTGAAATTGGTCGCATACTCAATTTCGCGCCCTCAACCGTCCAATATACCTACGAACTATCTGAACAACGCAACCTCCACAAATCGATCTCGCGTGCGGGCAGACCCTCTATAACGTCCGAAAGAGATAAAAGAGCCATTGTACGATATGCTCGTTCCTATCCCAAATCAACTTATGCACAAATGCGTCAAGATCTACAGATTCAACTCTCCGACAGTACTATCAAGCGAATTCTACTTCCTTATCATCTCCGCAAATAGCAATGCAAAAAAAGACTAGAATTAATACTAGAAGTGATTAATCTTTAATATCAATAGGTATTAAATTGTATACAAAAAGGGCCATGATATAAGTATCATGGTATGAGGTGCTATTTGGATTAGAGGACGTTCTGATTTGGTTATTATGACTCGTGATAAGCAAGCGTAACACAATGGATACTTAGCCAATTCCTATATTGATGTACTTGACCAAACTATCGAGAGATGCTAGCAACCTGGTATGACGTTTATGCAAGATAATGCCCCAATTCATACAGCCAAAAAAGTTACGCAATGGTTCGAAGATCGAGGTATACCAGTACTTAATTGGGCACCTTATTCCCCAGATTTGAACCCAATTGAACACGTCTGGGCTTGGATGAAGCAGTGGATTAATCAGCAGTATCCACATCTTAAGGATCTAGGGGATTCGCAAGCAGCGTACGATGAATTGGCTCGAGTAATCGTAGAAGCATGGGAGGCTATTCCGCAGGATAAAATCGACTCCCTAATCAAGTCAATGGATAACCGGGTGAATGCCGTACTGCGGGCAAAAGGATGGCACACCAGATACTAAATCAAGAGACCTAATTAGGAAATTAGTACGATTATAATCGCTAGACATTAACGGTCATTTTGAGCTATTTTTCATAAAATTCCGATCAGAGTTCAGTGTGTAGTAGTAAAATGTATAAAGTAGAGAACAGTTAGGGGGGGTGGTAAAATTCGTGTGCACGGAGACTTTTGACCTAGTACTGTACATCATGTCCTCTCTACGAGATCGGCACGACTGGGAAGAAAATTTCGAGTCTTTGGAAGTTGGTGTACGGCTCGACGTCGCCATATCAAACGATGAAAGATTCTTTGTCAATGAGATCACAAGGTGGTACGCAGCGGACTTCTTCTCACTCTCCACCCTTGGGCCCCCACACACTCAGCTGTGCAGCTCCTACGCCATAGCCCTTCACGAGTATTTCTCTTGAAGAAATACGCTGCAACCAGGGATAGATAACACTCTGCATAAACTGCGAAGACAACATTTAGGTTGACCGTGCTTCCCGCCTCCAAGTGATCTTCCCCTCCGATCTTTGTGCTCTCTTATTCGACGCTTTCTCCACCCGTTGATCCAACTGTTAGCCTGGCTGTCGACGAAAATATATATATATATATAGTCCGCTCTACTGGACGTAGTAGTGGCTGACAATTTGTATAACAACGCTCCGATTAATACCCTGTCCTCAATATCTTATCTCTTCATTAATCTCTTAACCAGTACCTCTCTTATTTGAAAACATCAGTAATATCAATATAAGATCTTGTATCATCAGCTTCTCCTTAACTATAATTGTTAGGAATCTGTGTGATTCGTTCTGACCATGACCGCTCTGCCGCTGAGCCAAGGGGTCGGGCAACAGCAGGGGTAGTCAATCACTAGTGGTCTACGAAGGGACATGCCTTGATATGATTACAATGAAGAGTACCGGCACCCGGAGGTAAACCGGTCAGGGAGTTACAAAGGTACAGACACTGGTTGAATTTTTTGGATGGGGATTGGGTACCACAGAAATGTTCAGGCTACGTGGAAATTCTGAAAGGTGGCTTTGCATTCATTCGCTAGTATTAGAGCATGAAGTATGGTAAGTTGGAACCGAGTTTCGCGTAGATCCTACCCAAATTCTGCCCACATTTCACTACCACCCAACGCCCATCCTGGAGAACTGCCATTCGTAGTCGGTCTGGGCCAGCCGCACCGGAGTGTGGTCTGCAATCCGTGCCATTTCGTTCGCTTGAGTGATGGACGCATATTCACCAATTACCCATTGATTGTCGATCCAGTCCGTGAAAAACTAAGGCCAGCGGTGAAGACTTCCAGTCGTGTCTGCTGATTGATCGTAGACTTGCCGTTACCCGCCATGCCCTGTAACCAAAAGATGCATTTGCTGCGGGAGTCCAGGCCCAATCGTTAATTTCCTTGAAGTCGCAGAGGAGAAGCGAAATAGCAGGTGTATATCTCCTCGCCGTCACAAGGCTGGCCGAGGCAGGCTGGAGCTGAGCCCGGAGGCCCGTCTTGGGAGGCGACACGTCGCTTTTCAAGCCTCAGCTAAGAGGACTAACCAACCTTCAGGTATTTCTCTCCATCCCTCTTCATTGACCTTATTGTCAGCAGCACACGTAACTGAAGCACATTATTTTAATATCGGCATTCTTTATGGCTGATTCGCGGCCCCTCTTACCACCCTTCTCTGAGCTGAGTGCTCTTTGCAAGCAGCGTTTGCCGAGAAATCCTTGAACGCTTCGGCAATGCACTACAGGCAGCATCATCGCGAGGTCACGAGAAGGTGGTGGAGATGTTACTGGCTTAGGGGGCAGAGGTGAATGCTCAAGGTAGATACTTTGGCAAGGCACTATACGCGGCATCAGAGCGAGGTCATGAGAAGGTGGTGGAGATGTTGCTTGCCAAGGGCGCAGAGGTGAATGCTCAAGGTAGATACTTTGGCAAGGCACTATACGCGGCATCAGAGCGAGGTCATGAGAAGGTGGTGGAGATGTTGCTTGCCAAGGGCGCAGAGGTGAATGCTCAAGGTGGATCCTATGGTAATGCACTACACACGGCATCAGAGCTTCCACGTGACCTGCAGAGTAGATAGATACCCCTGAGAAAATCCTAGATTCTCTCAAGGTTACGCAACAGAGTGAGCACCAATTTGGGTACAAAGCTCGACATAAGCTATCTAGGACTAAGCGAGAGTGTGCACGTGCGTGCGTGGGCTATCCCACCACAATAGTGAACAGAGCTGCGGTTGTTGGTTTTACCGCTGCGCCATCCGCGGGCCAAAAGGCACAAAGTCGAAAGCTATCCAGCTTTCGACTACCAACTACTACTAAATTTCACATACTGCTGACAGGGGTTAATCGGGGTCACAAGGGATATCCTGCATGCGGCGCTGACTAGCAGACGACACTGGTATCTCAGCTTCGCTGCCGATTCCTCGACAGATCTCCTCGTGGTCCATTGGTCGTCTGGTGCCTCATGCTTGGATGGCGCTGACCTGGTGACAATATATGATTATGGATCTTTGAAATTAATTTGGAAATCGCCAGGAATCGGTTCAAATAGCCCTTCTGCATCTCCTCTCGGCATTGTACTTTGAACGAATACAGAGTATGCCCGATCGACCATATCAGGACTGACCCTTTCTACGATGTCGAAGAAATTGGCTCACGATGAGTACACAGTGGGATGGATCTGCCCATTAGAAGTGGAGCAGATCGCTGCGTTGGAGATGCTGGACGAGGAACATGAGCGCCTGCCACAGTTTCCATCTGATCACAACGTATACAATCTTGGGAGCATCGCTGGGCATAATGTTGTTATCGCTGGACTCCATCAACCAGGCAACAACCCCGCGGCCACGGTCGTCACACAGATGAGGATGACATTCCCCAATCTCAGGTTTGGCCTGTTGGTTGGCATTGGAGGCGGTGTGCCTGTGAAGACTGACATCGGAATAATCCGGCTTGGGGACGTGGTGGTCAGCAAACCAGCAGGTGAACATTCTGGCGCAGTACAATACGATCATGGGAAAGCCAAGGCTGGCCAGTTCGAGCGGACAGGTGCTCTCGCACCACCGCCAGCAGTACTCCTTAACGCTGCGCAGGATCTCGCAGCGAAGCGTGCTAGGTCACGTAAAGACCCCATTGAAGACAATATTAAGACGATTGACGTAAGCATTCGAGGACTTCGAAAGTACAAATATCCGGGCGCGGCGCAAGATCATTTATATAAACCGGATTACGTTCACCTGAAACCTGGAGTGCCTTTCGACGAATGTGGATGCGACCCTTCGCAACGGGTCCAGCGACCGACTGATGACGAGGATGACGAACCGTATATCGTGGTCCACAGAGGCACGATCGCATCTGGGGAACTGGTGGTTAAGGATGCTGTATTAAGGGATCAACTGGCGAAGGAGTACGGATTGCTGTGTTTTGAGATGGAGGCGGCCGGTGCTCTGGCCGACTTCCCTTGCATGGTGATCCGCGGAATCTCGGACTACTGCGATTCGCACAAGAACGACCAATGGCACGGATATGCGGCCGCAACGGCGGCTGCATATGCCAGACAGCTTTTCTTTCATATGCCGATTGATGAGATAAAGCGGTGCGTATTAGTATCTAATATTTAAATAGATTGATGGTTAGTTAATTATGCATAGCCATATCTCTGAAACAGCAGAGAAAGATATCCATTCTGTGAAAGTTCGGCAAGATGACCAAGACCGTCAGGGTATTCTAGATTGGCTTACAACAGTGGAATACGGTCCTCAACATAGTGACTTCCTCAAGAGGCGAGAGCCAGGAACTGGCCAATGGCTTTTAGACGATGCTAAATACCAGACTTGGCAAAACACAGACAAGCAGACGTTGTTCTGTCCAGGTATTCCAGGAGTAGGGAAGACAATTCTCACAGCTATTGTCATCGACCACCTTACCACAAGATTCAAGAACGATGCGAACGTTGGGATTGCGTACATCTATTTCAATTACAAGCCAAAGGCCGACAATCAAAATGTCGACAATTTGCTATCAAGTCTGCTGAAACAGCTTAGTCAAGAACAGCCATCCTTACTAGAGAGTGTGAAAGCTCTCTATGACCAGCACAGAAAAACAACGACGAGACCATCAACTAACGAGCTCTTGAGAGCTCTCCAATTTGTAGCCGCCATGTATTCGAGAGTCTTCATCATCGTCGATGCGCTCGATGAATGTCAAGCATCTGACGGCTGCCGAGCGAAATTCCTATCAGAAATTTTTACCCTCCAAGCCAAAACCGGAGCGAATCTCTTTGCAACGTCAAGATTTATCCTAGATATCACTGAAGTGTTCAAAAGTAGCACGTGGCTAGAGATTCGTGCAACTAAAGACGACGTAAAGAGATACTTAGGAGGCCATATGCAACAACTACTACCTTTCGTCCAGCAGAATCACCAGTTGCAAGAAGAGATTAAGACAGGAATCTCAGAAGCAGTAGATGGAATGTGGGTTACCAGTTAATATAAGAGACGAATATATGCTGACTATCCTACAGGTTTCTTTTGGCGCAGATTTATCTTGGTTCACTTGACGACAAGACCACACCGAAGGCTATCAGAAATGCATTGAAAGACTTCCAGACTAAAAGCCAAGGATTAGGAGAGGAAGAGAAGGTTCGAATCCTAGACCAGGCGTACAAGCAAACCATGGAGAGGGTGGGTGGACAGAAGCTAGGCTTAAAGGACCTTGCCAAGCAGGCTCTGTCTTGGATCACCTGCGCAAAGAGGCCTCTTATTACGTCGGAACTTCAGCACGCGCTTGCAGTGGAGGTTGGGGGGGGACAAACTTGACGAAGAGAACCTACCACGGATTGAAGACGTGGTATCTGTGTGTGCTGGGTTGGTTACAGTTGACGAAGAAAGTGGAATCATCCGCTTAGTCCATTACACGACGCAAGAATACTTCAAGTCGACGCGAGAACGTTGGTTTCCAGATGCAGAGACTGATATCACGAAAGTCTGCGCTACCTACCTCTCATTTCATGCCTTTGAAAGCGGATTTTGTCAAAGCGATGCCGAGTTTGAGGAGCGGCTCCGGTTATATCAGCTGTACGACTACGTTGCGCACAACTGGGGACATCATGCTCGCAAGGCTTCGACCTTATGCCAGCAAGTCACAAGCTTTCTTGAGAACAAACCTAAGACCGAGGCTGCAAGCCAAGCACTATTAGCCATCAAGAGCTGGTTTCCAAACTACAGCCAAGGTGTTCCAAGGCAAATGACAGGACTGCACTTGGCGGCATACTTTGGAGTACATGAAGCAGCAAATACTCTCATTAGACGCGGGCAGAGTCTGGATTTGAAGGATAGCTACGGTCGAACGGCGCTATGGTGGGCTGCAGGGAACGGACACGAGGCGGTGGTGAAGCTGCTGCTTGAGAAGGACGGGGTCGACCTCAACCCTACAGACAGGTACGGTCGGACGGCGCTGTGGTGGGCTGCAGGGGACGGGCACGAGGCGGTGGTGAAGCTGCTGCTTGAGAAGGACGGGGTCGACCTCAACCCTACAGACAGGTACGGTCGGACGGCGCTGTGGTGGGCTGCAGGGGACGGGCACGAGGCGGTGGTGAAGCTGCTGCTTGAGAAGGACGGGGTTGACCTCAACTCCACAGCTAGTGATGGTCAGACGGCACTATCGTGGGCTGCAAGGAACGGGCATAAGACGGTGGTAAAGCTGCTGCTTGAGAAGGACGGGGTCGACTCAACTCCACAGATAGTGATGGTCGGACGGCGCTGTCGTGGGCTGCAGGGAACGGGCATGAGGCGGTGGTGAAGCTGCTGCTTGAGAAGGATGGGGTCGACATCAACTCCACAGATAGTGATCGTCGGACGGCGCTATGGTGGGCTGCAAGGAACAGGCACGAGGCAGTGGTGAAGCTGCTGCTTGAGAAGGACGGGATCGACCTCAACTCCACAGACAGGTATGGTCAGACGGCGCTATGGTGGGCTGCAAGGAACAGGCACGAGGCGGTGGTGAAGCTGCTTAGGAAGGGCATGCAAGAATAATGCTTCGCTGCTGTTACATTTCATATATGTAATATAATAACTTTGACGGAAAAGGGGTCTGGGGGAGCTGATGTATATATATCACTGGAATGTTGCCATCAGGTATTTCTAGTATGTTCCAGATACTTAGTGCTACTAAATCCATCTGTGATATTTGAATCACGGATATTCTGAACTATACAATGGAGCTGCCCAGTGGTCAGTATGAATTGAGCGGTCAGCAAATGCTACATCACTTAACGCCCAACACCACAAAGCGGGACACCCCACAAAGCGGGCCAGTTTCAGGTCACCCACAAAAAACCACACTCAAATTTTGAACGCTTATTACTCCACCAATTTACGTCCAAATGGCCTCAAACCAAGAGCAATTGATTCAGCAGGCCTTAAATGACCTAGACATAGGTTCTGAGAAGTCAATTCGCAAGGTAGCTGCCAAATACAGGGTTCCAAAAACGACGGTGGCCTACCGACGCAGAGGCCGCAACCCGCGTACGCAGGCCAATCGCAGGACTCAACGCCTATCTTTAGAAGAAGAAAGAACTCTAATTCAGTGGATTCGAGATCTACAGCGGCAGAATCTATGCCCAGATTACCCGAGAATTCGCTCTTTTGTGTACGAAATCCTGCGGAATCGAGGCGATTCGCGACCCCTGGGCAAGAACTATGTATCTCGCTTCATTTCTCGCCATTCAGAGCTTAGAACAAGCAGATCTCGAGCTATGGATATCAAGCGCCTTTCTGCGCTTGATCCTACAGTTATAGAGCGCTTCTTCTCTGAATTCGAACAGCTCCGGAGTCAGTATAATGTCGAAATAGAGGATATCTGGAATATGGATGAAACAGGCTTTCAAATGGGTCAAACAACAAGCAATTTTGTGGGGGGGGGCGGCAGAGGGGGGGCGGGTGGGGGGCCGCAGGCAGATAATACGCAATGGGTCACAATTATTGAGTGTATCTCATACCACCGCGCTCTAAAGCCCTATCTTATCTTTTGTGGCAAGACACCAGAGCTACATATGTTCCCTGCTATTAATGAGCTACCTGACATTATTTGGGCCTTCTCTCCTAAGGGATGGACTGATAATGAGCTTGGTATTGATTGGCTAAGGCGGATATTCATTCCACAGAGGCCTATAGGAAAGCATTCTATCCTGATTCTTGATGGCTATAACAGTCATTCTACAGGCCTATTTTAGTATCTCTGCCTTCAAAATGATATCCATCCACTCTATCTACCAGCTCACGCCTCTTATAAGCTTCAGCCACTCGATTTAGGACCGTTTTCGCCTCTCAAAGCTACATATAGTCAATTAGTACAAAGATTTACACCAACAGGCCTTGCAATATTTAACCGCAGAATATTTACTAAGCTCTATATTGAAGCACGCCAAACTGCATTTACTAAGCGAAATATTCGTGCTGGATGGCATCATACCGGAATTTGGCCTCTAAATAAGCAAAAACTACTTAATAACCCTAAAATTCGAAATTTTGGACGTACTACGCCTGAGTACTAACCCTCAGCTGTGTCAGATGGCCTCTATAGCACTCCAAAGCAGAGTGACGATTTACGCGCGCTAATTCGTCAAATTGAGGCCAAAACAACACCTCGAACAAGACGCGCTGTACGAAAGCTTGGCCGTAGTGCTATTCAAGAGCATACTGGCGCTCAATTGCTTCGAACGCAGCTCAGAGAGCTACGCCAATTAGCTTTGAAGCAAGAGCTTACGAAACGCTCAAAAAGGATACAAAAAGAGGCAGCACAGCGGTCGTGGAATCTTGAACAGGTCAGGGCTGCTCTAACGCCCAAAAAGGTCCATTTCGTACGCAAGGAGGGCGGAGAAAAGCGAATTCTACGTACTGTTACATTAGAATAGGTCTATAGAAGCTATTCCATCGAAATTAGTCCTATTCGTATGAGTATAGCAGCTCTAATGCAGTAGAATTTGTTGTTGTGGGTGACCCGAAATTGGCCCGCTTTGTGGGGTGGCCCGCTTTGTGGTGTTGAGCGTTAGTGGCAAACGGCACAGTCATTCGCTTTGACACTGGCTACATCGGACCGGGAGCCTCTTTAATAAGTCTCTTTTCTGGTCTTTAAGAGAACTTTTGGACAGAAGGAACAGCGACTGGAAACAGCCAATAATCAATGCGCCATTGCTGGTGCTGGCGCTGGCGCTGGTGCATTCGTAGCCTGCAGATAAAATATTTGTACAGTACTGCGCATCTTGGAACGTAAGTTCAGCTTGCCATGGGTTATATTTCTGGTCAGTTTGCGCAATTCTCAGTTCGACTTAGAATTTTCACGTATGCGTCTTCCACAGTTGAGGGGAGTGACTCAATTGACGCTTCTTGAGGTCGGGGGCTGTTCCGGTAAGTCTCATGGATGCCTTCGATGGCCAAATAGAGCCATAAATACGTGCGATGCCCCATCTTCAGTAGTTTATCTCTCAGTTGCTCCTGTGTTTGAGGATCTAGTCTCCCAAGAATGCCTGCAATAGCGGCCACGACCGAGAGAGGATCCATCCTCCTTACAAAGCACGTCGGGAATTGTTGTAGGTATAGGTAAGCATGCCCGTTTCAGCAATCTTTGGGACTTGTCGGGTTGGACATTAAATTGGAACGAGAGGATTGAAGCACTCCTGAGATTAAGGCTGCTTCAACATTGGGAAAGCCTTCCATGCCTAGCCGTTAGCACTGCCACTTTGCCCGATGCGCCCATGATCGGTCGGAATGTCTCCGGGGCGGTACATTCAGAACGGTACATTCGGCGTTTGTTTCTTGGGGCGGGATTTACCCCACCAAAATTGCTAGTAATTCGACTATTCGTTCTTATTGGTCAGAGATAGAATGCCATAGTAGAAGACACGTAAAATGAGTATGCTACTACTTCCTAATCGGGAATGAGTATAGAAAACGTGGTGTTGAAATGGCTCTGATATTTAGCCCTTCCCTGCACCCTTGCCCCGAATACCTACCCGCGATAGAGAAAATCCATAGGCTTCTGGATTGCCTTCGGCGAAACTTGTGTTGTGAAGACTTTGGTAGACCTCCAGGCACAATAAGGAGGTCTATAGTAAAACAAACCATTCCTCCATGAACGGATCAAAAAGTAGGGAGTACTCTTTAGCCATGGGCCCATAATACAACGCTGTAACAACCAACACCCCTCAACCGTTATCTCCTCTAGATCAATGCGCCTAAAAATTATAATGGAGGACCATGGTGGTGGGTAAATTTGAATGGAAATCGCTTGGATTCTGACTCTTCCACCGGGGGAAGGGCTTCAACCACGTTAAGCTCAGCCCCTGACGCCTTGAATGGAACAGAACCATTGATTACAGACCGGAACCATTTGGAGGACTCAGCACAAAAATCGCTATAAAGAGCCTCACCCAGGCTCGATAGAGCGTATCCCGCGCCAACAGCAACGGACTCACCCACACCGTGTCCGCCTTGGGATTCGGGCCTCCCAGACAAGTTCGGTCCGATGCGGATAAGTCCGAAGAGGTCTATCATGGAGCAGGACTATCAGCTCGTTGAACAGCTGATCAAGCCACGTCCAATTGAAACCGTATGTTGTCTGGTATAGAAATACCACGAGTGGACGCGAGCCGAGCAGAACGTGCCGAGCACCGTGTTGACGAAAAGTGGCGGTAAGCTGGTCCACATTCATGTAAAGGACCTCTCGGCTGTAGAAAATTTTCATCACCTCCATCAGAAACACACCCTGGTGCAGCACGGGCTTCGCCCGTGGAGCGGCAAATCCATCTCCAAAGCGCTTCGCGAGATCTTCTATGTAACTGATGTCAAAACATGGTAAGTACTTATTGGCATGGTCTCCCGTGGCCGGAATAACTAGACTTTTGTGCCCCCAGATTTCACGTATTTTGTCCAATGGGACGAAAAGAAACACAGGTGGCTGTAGTTGTGGATTTGAAAGGTGGTTTACTCTGGTATAGGAGTGACTTTGGCAATTTGAGTCTGAAGTGTTTGCGGGTCGCGTCCTTCGGTTATCTGCACCCGATGTGGGTACCCATCCATCATCCAGGGAGGCAGCATCCTTCTTGCGACGTGCGTTCTCTCTTCGTTGTCGGCGCAAGTCATTTCTATGTTCTCTTGTGCGCTCATAGTTGTTTCGCTGAGTACTTTGTACCCTCTTGGGGAACTTGAGGGCGTATTTCCTCCTCGTCTCTCTACGCTTTGCTTCGGGACTGCAATTACTGTGCAGCATAAGTGCTTTGAGCGTTCAAGAAGAGAGAGAAGGAGGAAAGAAGATTGATTGTGCAATCTGTTCATGAGCGCGTTGTTTGAACCGGCGTGTTGTTTGAGCCGGCGCGTCGTTTGAGCCGGCGCGTCGTTGAGCCGGTGGGCATCGTGTTCAGCTCAAAGATCTGGTGAGTCTCAAGATCTTAGGGTACTTTTCAACTGAGTGACGTATATTCTCGCACAGGGAGTACACCAAAAAAAGCGTAGAACAGCTCGCTGTCATGATTCAAGACGTTCAAGCTGATTTGAAACGGATGCGACTGCTCCAAATCCTAGGCCGACAGCTGGAACGCTGAAGGACCCCCGGTTCTCCACTGCTTTTATGATTCGCTGAAGGAAGAAAAGCTTGTGTAGGAAGAGGAGGTCCAGGAACTTTATGCAACTTTTCCCTTGGACGCAGTAAGTACCTACCGGCGACGTGGTCCTGCGGTATATTCCGCCGGCTTCGTCAGGGAGAATGGTTTGATGCCTGGACCATTATGGCAGCCATGCAAATATCGGACAAGCCCCTATTCGTCAGACATGGCTATAGTGTCCCGTTGGACGAAAATGGGAGAAACGGTAGGATGAAACCCGTCAAAAGACCCCTAGCGCCACTTTCAGGGGTGAGATCCAAATCTTGGGGTGTTGTTCTCGACGATACTTCTCGAATGCCCTGTCGGCATGGAATTAGGAGATTAATACGTAGATTTGAGGCCCCAGGCCGAAGGTCGCGTTGACATGACACAGTTAGCGGACCTACTAAATAGGTGTCACTCAGCCGCTCGTCACATCCCAAGGTTGGCCAACATTCCCGACGCGCATGTCTACTTTTGAACCCAAAGAGAGGTTACTTTTTATTACGTTGGAGGGTACCCCAGGTCTGAATCATTGAATGGAAATATAAAGGCTTCGAGCCGAGTTTCGCTAGCTTACTTATTCCATTTAAATCGCTTCCTATGCCAAGAGGGCGCCCACGCGCAGGCAAAGACCCGAAGAAGCAAGATGCCCCCTCTTCCGAGTCAGTCTGAGGTAGGATTGCCTTGCAGACCCACTTCGTGGCGGATACTGATGGATCAAAACAGCAATCTATAAGCTTGGAGTCGTCTTCCCAACGGCCTCGCACAAGTAGTTGGCTCAAAGCGGAGGCCGAACGACATCAACAAGAACAGCCTGTCCTCAAGACAAGGAAACACTCGCTCTCGACTGAGACAGGCGGCATTGTCACTGATGGAAATCCGGAAACGGCTCCCTCGAAATCGACGGGCGAGCGGGCGGCAACGCCTTTCCCAAAGCCCGTTCAATGCAAGGGTCGGTATACTATCGAAGACCTCTATCCAGAGGAAAACCGGGTACGCAAATCTCCTCCACTGCCATGACATATTATCTGATTCGCTGATCATGGAAGAATTCCGCTGTAAGTGAATGGTTGAGGCGCGTGTTGGCTTCCGTCTCTAGTCGTCAGAATTCTGTTGAACAGGACGACAGTTCCGCTTCAAGCGACCTGGCATCCCCTTCGAGTGAGACCACCGGTATAGAGGTATGTTTTTACGTTCCTGTTCTTACCTCGCTACTCACGTTAACTCCAGCCAAAGCATCCACAAGATTCGTCGACCTTATTGAAAACTCCAAAACCTGACCTAAAGCGGAAACGAGCTCAGACCGAAGAAGTCGTACCTCGAGACGAGAAGGAAAATCCTCAGGAACAGCGACAGAGTAAGTCTTATATAAACTCTACTATCGAAGGTCGCTCAAGCACGGAATTTCCCGTAGATAACAATTCAATTGAGTATTGGAGAAAAGAATATACCTGCCGGTGGGTTTATGGATGAGCCGACATTGAAGTTTACGACGTGCTCAAATAATTGTCGGATCCCTTCTAATCTCCGTCCAATGCTTGCCAACTCGAATACTTGAACGAAAAGATGACAATAAGTGTCCTGGGAATGTGCGTCGTCCTCCGGTCCTCCGTCTTAGCCCTAATATCACTGAATCCTTCCTTAGGAGCCCCGTTGGATTGTCTTCACCGTTCTCGAAGCCATGGAATGCCTTCTGGTCATTCCTGTCGGTATCATCGTTACGAAGTTGCAAACAAACCTGCAGAAGAAGATATCGCTTTCGCGACTCTGCTCTACGAAATCGGCTCTGGCAAGAAGTCGTTTAATTGGCTTAGCAGTGAGGAAGTACAGCAGTGTTATAGCAATGTCGAGTTCCCAGACGATGTCAAATCCCTTTCACGTCTCCTCTTTATTACCGTCTTGTCATTCTGGAGCGTCGAGTTTGCCAACATCAGTGAATCATGTGCATGGAGCGTTTGCAGATAAATGCCTCTTGCGGTCAAGTTTGAGACCATGGTTCGCCCAAATGCGTCATGCGGACGTATTGGCTCATAGATGACTACGGCAACGGGTATCGCTGGGTGGAATGCCGAGGTGGAGTATGAGAGCACTGAATCCGCATCTTCAGGGGGGAGGTAAATCAGACAGCACTCCGACAGCAATTTCCTCCTCCTCTTTTACTTCTTCCTCGTCCTCTTCTCTCTCTCTGTCCCGCTCCTCCTCTCTCACCGCTTCGTCTGCTGAGGTGGACAGGTGTTCGCTTTCATCAGAGTCGGTTTCGACATTCAGAGACGTCGGAAGTAACTATGGTGTTTACTTTCGACTCGAAAAAAGCGCTGCAGAGGCACTTGAAAAACGCGCTGCAGAGGCACTCAACAGGCGCTGCGGAGGCACTCGAAAAAGGCGCTGCAGAAGCACTCAAAAATAGCGCTGCAGAAGCACTCAACAGGCGCTGCGCAGGCACTCGAAAACGGCGCTGCAGAAGCACTCGAAAACAGCGCTACAGAGGCACTAGAAGAAGGTGCTGCAGAAGCACTCAACAGGCGTTGCGCAGGCGCTCGAAAACAGCGCTACGCAGAAACACAACAGGCACTGCGCAGGCACTCAACAAGCGCTGCAGAAGCACTCAGCAGGCGCTACGCAGGCACTCGAAGATAGCGCTGCAGAAGCACTTAACAGGCGCTGCGCAGGCACTCAACAAGCGCTGCAGAAGCACTCAACAGGCACTACGCAGCACTCAACAAGCGCTACAGAAGCACTCAACAGGCGCTGCAGAAGCACTCAACAGGCACTGCGCAGGCACTCAAAAACAGCGCTGCGGAGGCGCTCAACAGGCGCTGCGCAGGCACTCAAAAACAGCGCTGCAGAGGCACTCAACAGGCGCTGCGCAGATACTCAACAGGCGCTGCGTAAGTGTCACGTGTCACGTTGGAAGCAGGCGACGAGTGCGCGAGATCTTCAGCCCATGTTGAGTGCTATCCTAAGACTGCAGAGCCGACGAGGATGGCACCGGGGTCGCTCCTATATAGCGAGCATGCCCCTTACTAACGCGTAGTGCCAATCAATACCCGGCGGCCCTAGCGCTAGCGGCCGACAAGCATGGCAGCCGTGACAGTAAGCACTCAAAAAAGGCGCTGCAAAAGCACTCAACAGGCGCTATAGAAGTACTTGCTTATTTTACATTCCAATTTTGGAATGGATACCCCTAGAAGGTACTTAAAAGGCTCTCACCTATTTGATATTCCAATTTTGGAATAGTTACCCCTAGTTACTATTAAACTAGAGGTCCCTATTTCAAAATTCAAATATAGATAAGTACTTATGTAGCGCCTCTTTCAAGTGCTTACGCAGTGCCTATTAAGTGCTTTTGTAGCGTCTGTTAAGTGCTTCTGCAGCGCCTATTGAGTGCCTACGTAATGCCTTTTTTGATTGCCTTCGCAGTACCTTTTTTGAGTGCCTCTGCGGTGCCTTTTTCGAGTGCCTGCGTAGCGCCTGTTGAGTGCTTCTGCAGCGCTTATTAAGTGCTTGTGCAGCGCCTTTTTCGAGTGCTTATGCAGCGCCTGTTGAGTGCCTATGCAGCGCCTGTTGAGTACCTATATAGCGCCTTTTTCAAGTGCTTATGCAGCGCCTTTTATAAATAGTTACTGAAATCAATCAATTGAATCTTCGTACGTAATTCTATGTGGTGTGAAGTTGGGATGGAATGATGAGCAGGAGGCGCGGGGATCAAAATTTTGATGTGTCGTTAACCCAATAACAGTCCGCCGTAGGACCGGCCATTTGACTAGTAGTCAACTTCATTGGCTGGCCTTGCATCTGTCGAACAAGTGTTGTTGAGGACTGCAAAATCTAACGGAGCTAGCTAAGCAAGCTATACGCAGGCCTAACGCAGGCTGAGTCAGCAGGCGCCTTGGCGTACTACAACAGCATCTTATGCGAAGCCGATAGAAAGTCATAGAAAGGCTGGGAACAATACCGTAATCTCAAAGCCTTTCAGCCTCCATGTTCTGTTCTTTTAAATGAAATCCTTCAGCTAGGCGATTCCACAAAATAAAACATTTTATTTGCGGACACTTACTAGATGGTTTAGATGGATCGATCATTATCTTTCGCCGAATTCAGCTTTTTGGCAGACGATCCTCAGACGAAGTCATTCAGCCCAAGTGCTACACCAGCGCATGCTCCAAATCAGTACGCAAACTACGGCTTCATTGCTGTCTTAGGTCTTGCTCAAAGGTTACGCTTGCCCTTCTTGCCTATAACATGGCAGGCAACGCTGGGCCGAATAGGAAGGGGTGGCCAGGCCGAGATCAATCAGGCTCTAGCCAATGTCCAGACGAGTTTTGCATTCAAACGCTTCAAGCATCCAAACACCGATCCCTTCAGAGAGATTATTCAAGAGATGGTAGTACTCAGCCACCCTGTAATCCGACAACACGAACACATTGTTCCGTTAGAGGGGATCTGCTGGGATATTCCACAACATAATGAGGTATGGCCGGTCCTGGTCTTCGAAAAGAGTCACCTTGGAGATCTTTGCGAATTTGCAAAGTCAGAGAATTTCAAAAATCTATCAATTCAGGATAGATTTACAATCTGTGCGCACGTTGGAATTGCCATCAGAGACATGCATCGCAATAGTAAAGGTCCTTCCTGATAATCTTAACAACAGCTTATCAAGCTGCAGGAATTGTCCACGGAGACATTAACCCTCGAAATGTGCTTATATTCGACGAAGGTTCTCAGTTCATTGCCAAAGTGGCGGATTTCGGGTTCACTACATGCTTTCAGGGCGACAGTGACCTGATTTCAATACCAAAAAAGGAGCCTTGGAATGCACCGGAACACCATCACCGTCACTTTAGACCCGAGCAAGCTAAGCAAATGGATGTTTACTCATTTGGTATGCTATGTTTCTGGCTAATCTATGAGGCGGGGTCCTCTGGAGGTCTGCCGCTACCTCCCAATACGGTTTTAGACAGTGGTCAATCTGTTAGCTTCGATCGATGCTTGTCAGAAACGAATGTGCTCCTAGACTGGAAGAGCGATAGCAACAATACGCTGATGAAATTCGTTTGCTGGCTAGTGCATGAAGACAGGCGCTTAAACAGCAGCGTGAGAGAAACCTTATTGCCATTTTTCCAATCTACTTTAGCTTCGGACCCCAAGTCGAGATGCAATGACCTTGAGCACGTACTTTCTCTTCTGATTCCTCATAGGTAAATGCTGATCTATTCATCTTGTTCAGCACACGTTTACAAGTTTCTAGCATTTTGCCGAAAACAGAACCTATTCGAATAAGCTCTGCTCCAAAGCAAGAAGATTTCGAGGTTACGAGCTCACATAAATGATCGTATAAGGATTACTGATAATCTATAGATTCCTTTTTCGATTTCCGAGTTCTATGATGCAGACTTTCGGCTAAGGGAATTCATTATCGAATGTCTTGAATCTACAGCCATAGTGTCAACAAAATCAACTATTCAGCATGTATCACCACGGAAAGCAGCTTTGCAATTAGCATTGTCTTATACTATTGGCTTTGGAACAATCAAAGATGACAACCGAGCGACGTTCATCCTGCATGAACACTGCCTGGAACACATAGACCTGAAAAGCCAGATCCAACTGGTCAAGGGCGGTATCCAAGCATCTTCATATGACGGTCAAGTGTTTTCAGTATTACAACGCCGAGGGCCAATTCAGTATATCGACTTCCCTCAACACTACCGTGAAAAGGAATTGCTGGAGAGAGCCGAAATTAGTTGTGAACGGGATATTCAGAGCATTGGCCTGGTCTTTGGCCAGTCACATATGCTATGTTCTAAAGTGAAAGCCCGGCTAGCAACGATAATAAAAGATCAGGGTCGATGGAAAGAGTCTGAAGAATTGGAGGTGCAGGTGATGGAAGCGAGCTCGAGAATGTTGGGCTATTCGCATCCTTCTACACTGAACAGCATGGCTAGTCTAGCCTCAACATACTGGAATCAAGGGCGCTGGAAGGAGGCTGAAGAGCTGCAAATGCGAATGATACAGAAAAGTCTGATGGTGCTGGGCGAAGAGCACCCAAATACATTGAGGAGCATGGCCACTCTTGCCTTAATATGCGGGGATCAGGGACAATGGAAGGGGGCTGAAACACTGAACGTGCGAGTAATGGAGACAAGGAAGAGGGTGCTGGGCGAGGAGCATCCAGACACGCTGAGCAGCATAACCAACCTTGCCTTGATCTACTACAAACAAGGACGATGGAAAGAGGCTGAAAAGCTGAGCATGCGAGTGCTAGAGAGAAAGAAGAGGGTGCTAGGCGAGAAGCATCCTTCCACGCTGACCAGCATGCACAATCTAGCAGAGGCGTTGAGCAGTCAAGGCAACCTCAGAGAGGCTGAGCGAATCCATCGACAAACATTGCTGCTGAGGGAAACCGCGCTGGGCAAGCAGCATCCAGATACGCTGACGAGCATGAGCAACCTGGCAGTCTTATTATGCAATCAAGGCAGCTACAAAGAAGCTGAACAGATCCATCGACAAGTATCGGGATTGAGGGAAACAGTGCTGGGCAAGCGACATCCAGATACGCTGACAAGCATGAACAACCTGGCAGAGGTATTAAACAGTCAAGATGCCTTCAGAGAGGCCGAGCAGATCCACCAACAAGTATTAGCGTTAAGGGAAACAGCGCTAGACAAGAACCATCCTGATACACTGATTAACATGGATAATCTAACAGAGACGTCAAGCAATCAAGACAATCTCAAAGATGCCGAACAGATCCATCGACAAACCTTAGCGTTGAGAGGAACAGTGTTAAACAAGGACTACTCTGACACGCTAACTAACACGAACAATCTGACAGATGCGTTGAACAGTCAAGACAGCTTCATAGAGCTCAAAGAAATACATCGACAAACGTCAGCGTTAACAGAAACAGTGCTAGATAAGGACTATTCTGATATACTGGCTAGTATGGATAATCAGGCAGAGACATTAAGCAATCAAGGCAACTTCAGAGAGGCCGACCAGATCCATCGACAAGCGTTAGCAATAAGAGAAACAGTATTAGGCAAGGACCATCCTAATACACTGGCCAGTATGAACGATCTTGCAGAAGTGTTAAATAATCAAGGCAGCTTTAATGAGGCTGAACGAATCCATCGACAAGCCTTGGGGTTGAGAGAAAGAGTGCTGGGCAAGCAGCATCCAGATACGCTGACGAGCATGAGCAACCTGGCAGCCTTATTATGCAATCAAGGCAGCTACAAAGAAGCTGAACAGATCCATCTACAAGCCTTAGGGTTAAGAGAAACTGCGCTGGGTAAGCAGCATCCAGATACGCTGATGAGCATAAATAGCCTGGCAGCCTTATTATGCAGTCAAGGCAGCTACAAAGAAGCTGAACAGATCTATCAACAAGCCTTGGGGTTGAGAGAAACAGTGCTAGGCAAGCAGCATCCAGATACGCTGTCGAGCATGAATAATCTGGCCCTTGTATTAAGCAGTCAAGGCAGTCATAATAAAGCTGAAGAAATTCATCGAGAGGTTTTTGCGTGGAGATATACAGTTTTAGGCAAACAACATCCAGATACGCTGATGAGCATGAGTAATCTGGCAGATGTGTTGAATATTCAAAGCAAATACGATGAAGCCGAAGAAAAGTATCGAGAAGTCATAACATTGAGAGAAACAGTGTTGAGCAAGCAGCATCCAGATACGCTGATAAGTATGGACAATCTGGCCATTATGTTGAACAATCAAGGCAGCTTCAAAGAGGCCGAACGGATTCACCAACAAGCGTTCGTGTTAAGGGAAGCAGCGTTAAACAAACAACATCCAGATACGGCGACAGTTGTTTTTAGCAATCAAGACAAATCTGAAGAAAGCTATCGACAAGCATTAGCGTCAAGGAAAGCAGTGCTAGGCAGGAATCATCCTGATACACTAACGAGCATGAACAGTCTGGCACTTGTGTTAAGCAGTCAAGGCAGCCATAATGAAGCCGAGGAAATCCATCGAGAGGTGGTTGCGCGGAGGAATGCAGCGCTAGGCAAGTACCATCCAGCTACGTTGATGAGCATGAACAATCTAGCAGACGTGTTGAGCATTCAAAGCGAGAACGATGAAGTCGAAGAAGCAGTAGCGCTGAGGGAAATTGTCACGGAATGTGTTGGGAGCGGTCCATTCGCGGCGATCCATTCGGCAAAGATCCATTCGGCGTTTGAATCTTGACGGGTTCTTGACATGACTGCGCAATAGTAATTTGTATGTAGTATTTCTAGATTTTTCCAGAGAGAGTTTTGATCCACCGTCATTTATAATTCAAGCTTACTGTACTTCCTAAACAGATATTGAGATAGATATCCTTGGTGTTATACTATTACTCTTGTTGTTGCTACGGCCACCTCCTTATAGGCTGCTCATTCTGACTGTCTAGAACATATTAAAACAGAGCTCAAAGCACGTGTACGGTCTCTCCCTCTCTCCTTAATAGTCTCTACGTCTAGGGAGGTCTTCGATAATTCTGATGTTTGTTAAGAACTTTTATAGAGCTGGGTCTTATCGTAAGAATTTGTTATCGTTAGAAAAAGTAGTAACATAAAGACAATTCACAAACGATTTGAATTTCGTTATATATATTTAATATTCGTTAATTTGAAAAGTATATTAAGAAAGAGTGGCCAGAGGCTTGGAGCCTCCAGATCGACTGTACTATACAGCGGCGGACATGGATTATCAGAAGACGGAAAGCCCGGAGCCTGTACAGTGATGGTATTGTTGTAAAGTGATGGATGTGTGTAACTAGATGTTGAGAAGTCTAGTCCACGGGCTGGACTATTTGAGAAGCCCGGAGCCTGAATGGTGACGGTATCGTTTTGATAGACCGGTAGATGTCCGTGACCAGACGTTGCGAAGTCTAGTCCTCGAGCCGGATTATTTGAGAAGCCCGGAGCCTGAATGGTGACGGTATCGTGGTCGTAGACCGGTGGATGTATATGACTAGGCGTTGTGAAGTCTAATTCACGGGCCGGATTATTCGAGAAGCCCGGATCCTGAAGGGCGACAGGATTATTGTTGTAGAATGGATGTATGGGACTAGGAGTTGAGAAGTTCAATCTACGGGCCGGATTATTCGAAAAGCCCGGAGCCTGTTCCAAGTAAGGAGTCGATGTGGTGCAACTTGTTGTACCTTCTGAGGTGAAAGATGTAGACATGTGAAAGGGGCATGTCACGTCTCGTACTGAATCTTCATTGACAGTCCTAATAAGATTAGCCCTCGCCTAAATAATCGCAGTAAGTCATAGTACTCACGGGCTTGTTGCGCTAGAAACAGTCTCTTGAGCTGTTGAAGAAGAATTTGAGGAAGCAGAGGCAACTTTAAATACCGAAATGTCAGCGGCAAAAGTTAAAGTACTGAAACACATACTCGGATCCAGTCTCTAGATCATCTGGGAATTCTGACACTTTTTGTTCATGTCTCGCCATATGTTTTTGAAGGTCCCCCCATCTCTTAAAACTGTCTTCCACATGTTTCACATTTCGTTCTATAGCGCTTCTGAGCAAGATCTTTATGTCTCATATCTCCATACCAGAGATGGGTATAGAGGCCGTCTGATCTGTTATATAATCTATTGCAGATTGGGCAAGCGTGCTTCTTCAAAAGCTTCTCTTTCAGGGCTTCGTTTTCGATTTTCAGGGCTCTGTTCTCCTCCTCTAGCAATCGAACATGATCTTGCTCCGTCATAAGAGAACCCTTGTTCTCAGCTTGCTTTTGGTCCTATTCTGCGACCAGTTTATATTCATCCCCTTGCGTTTCTGACTGGAAGTTTTGGAAACATTCTTCGGTTTGAGGTTTGCAATCACTTGAGGTTCGCAATAACGTTTTGAGCTTCGCGGAGAGCGACGCAAGGACTGGGACGCATGGCTTGTGTTTGCGAGGGCTGGAGAAGTCGCAGTCATGATGATCCAAAGAGAGAGCTTTCGATTTGATGTTGGTTGACGACGTTGTCCTGTTCGATTGCTTTTGATTAGCTCAATGCTTGTTGCCGAAAGTGGCCTAGTGGCTAACGCACATGACTGTGATATTGGCCCGAGGGGCCGGTGGTGCCAGTAGACCCCATCATGCGTAGCTTGGTCTAGGCGAAACGGCTTCTTTCAAGGCCAATTGAGCGGTGTCTGTGGTTAGGCAGCCCAGTAAGTGCTGCACTAAATTTGAAAGTCGCTTTGTAGATCAAATCGTACAGATCGAGCGATAGTTTACTTACAACGATCCAAGCGATTATATCAGTTTCGTTGCTGTGGGTTACGACCGCTTTTAAATGCCTCAACCAGTCCTGGATTCCTGGAATATCTGTTACTCTTGTAAGTGCCACGCCAGAAACCATCTTTTCCCGATTTCTCTGCTTGCTGATCTACGCCACTACTGCACATCTATGACTCTTTTGAAACACCAGGACCGGCCACACTTGATCGTCTTCCGGAATATCCCAGCAGATTCCTTCTAGCGTAACTATATGCTCATGTTTTCGCACCATAGGGTGACTGAGCACCACCATCTCTTGGGCAATTTCGCTGAAGGGATGCTGCTGTGGGCGGTTGAAGAGCTTGAACGCAAAGCTCGTTTGAACATTGACCAATGCCTCATTGATCCCAGCCTGGCCGCCGTTTCCTATTGGGCCCAAGCGCTGCCTGCCATGTTATGGGCAAGAAGCGGTCGTGCAATCTTTGAGCAAGACCTAGTACAGCAATGAAGCCATAGTCTGCTATTGCTCTGAAGCACGTACTGACCTGGCGCTTAAGCCGAACACCTTGGTATTGTAGTCGGACGCAAGCGAACTGGAATCGCCAAAGAGAATCGATGATCGGTCGGTCATTTTCACCAATGAATATTCGCGGACAAGCAGACTATCTCGCCAAGATCTGCCGCTTCTTGAGAGCAGAACATGTATTCAGGTGTCGCGAGCAAAAAAGGAAGAAATGGAACCTGCAAGATGAGGGACTTTAAGTCAAAGATGTCTCAACGAGTTTCTGTCGGCTTCGCATGGAATACAAAGGCTAGCCAGTGAAGCCTGTCTCGTGGCTGGTAACAGCAAGGCGGATCTTTAAAATTGTTCTTGCCCAGGAGCTAGTCCTAATTATATATAGGGCGCATTGGAGAGGTGTAACCCCCAACAGGGGGTCTGGGAATTCGTTGCACCAC